GTAGGGATTTGTGTTTTCTACTTATTCCTAATAATCTCTAGACTACTAGAATGCTAGACTGCTTCTAGCATCTGATATATGGTGGGTGCAAATTTCAAGTATTTTTATTTTAAAGCTAGTAAAACCCAACAAAACAAAACAGAGCAAAGCTCATCAAAACAAAGCAGCAAACTTGGTACAGAACTTCAAAGCAGGATACTAGGAAACAACAATAGCTAGCAGCTGTCTTACCTTCACTATAGTTGTCTGTTCCATCAGGTACAGCAAAATCAAACCAAAACCAAAGCAGAATAAAACCAATCAAAACAGAACAAAATAATCAGAACAAAGCAAAAACACTGAGAATAATATTGGATTTCAAAGACAAGATAGAAGGAAATCCCCCGTATTTGCTGTGTTGCATATGATCATCCTCCAAAGAGATGTTCAGACTGCTGGCCCCAGGCCTGCAAAATCCACCAAACAGCACAAGAATTTAGTTGCTTTATGTACCTCAGTCGCTATTAACTCAGCCTGTCCTCTGAACCTGATGGTTGCTTGGGGTAGGAGGGTGTTTGATTCCCCCTGGTAGGTTCATGCAGACAGGAACTATCTGACTTTTCCTGGAACCAACTCATATTTGTGCAGCTTACCAGAATGGCTGGCTGGTTGGCTTCTTGTTGGGTCCTCCCCGGTTTTCAAGTATTCTGATGAGACTGAAATAGCCAGTTAAGTTTCTCAGGTTCGACTCAGCCAGTTTCAGGTTTAAAGTGGGGTTCTCGCGTACACACAGCAGTGATCCTCATCATTGACTTCTACCAAAGTTGAATCACTTTGTAAGAGTGATCTGCATTTTCCTGGGAACCAGAACACTGATTTTCTAACTGGGGGAGGATGTGATGGAACAGCCGGGCCCAGCATCCTGTTGGCTGACTCCTCCTGAGGCAGCTTTGGTCTGATTGTCACATCAGTCCCAGCCCTGGACTATCTCTGTTCCCACTTGGTGTGGGGTGTGAGATTCCCCCAGGCCATTGCTGTTACAAGGTGGAATACGTCTGCCTTCATTTCCTATGATTCATCCTCAGAGCTCCACTCAGTAAGATTTTTAAAGCACCAAATAAAATGAAAACACATCAACAATAAAAAAAAATCCCCCCAGAACTCTTAAATCTGAGCCTAGTTTTTCTCCTGCCTGAGCTCCATTTGTAGATGTTCTTCGAAATGGCCCTGCATGCACCTCCCACTTCCGGATTTTGGTTCACAAATTCCATTTGCCAGGGCTTAGCAAACATCAACAGAGAGAGGCTTCAGTCCACTGATAACTCATGCAGGTAAATACATGAGAGTGAAGGGAAAGGGATGTACTAAGTGCTTACTGTCTACCCCGTGTGATCCTAACAACAGAGAAGAGAAGGATAATTTCTCAAGGCCATGGAGATGGCCTGCCATCTACCAAAGAAGGGAAAATTTGCTTAAGGTATGAAGGAGAAGATCAGTGCTAAGTGTGACTCCCTGGCTGGTGCTGCCCAGAGCTAGAGCAGGGCCTGTGAAGCCAGGAAAAGTGAGAGAAGCTGGCATCTCAGAGATGAGTAACATAAAAGGAATTAACATGGAAGCTTAGGGCTGTTTAGGTTCAATTCCTTAACCAGGCGGGCAAAACCAAGCTACCGAAGTTCCTAAGCAGTGGCAGGAGGTCATTAAATCAGGTGCAGTGTCCTTCTGGGTGGACCCCCCAGCCTCACCCCAAACAGCCCCCCACCCAGGAGTCTGTCTAGACCAAGAGCAAGGTGTGGGTTCCAGAGGCAAAAGCCCCAGAGCTGCATGTGGAGGCGACGGGTCAGCTGAAGCAAGGCATGGCTTCCCAGTTCTGGACGGTGGCTGTGTGTAGCAGTTATGGGGACTGATTTCTGAGTCTCACCTCTGTTTGCTGAGTGTAGCATAGCAGCCATGAGTTTACCACCTTCCTCTAGCACCCCTCACTCCATTTTTCTGCCTTTGAGACCTGACCACTTGTTGTCTTATGCTCCAGATGCAAGGCCACACAGCCACAGATCTCTATGAGGTGCTCAAGGCTCCCTGAACAGCTTGTTTGTTATAAATTGGGCCCTGAGAGCAAGATGGACCTGGATTAGGGGAACACACAGAGCAGGCAGGGGACATCCTCTAAACAAAGGCCTAGGTGACTCCTAGTGGCAAGGTGGTTATGAACTAGGGCAGCAGAGGGCCAGACCAGAGGGCTCTGGAGTGAGGCAGAGGCTAGGGACACTGACAGCTTACCTCAATAAGCACAGGGCAAGAGGGTTTCCTGGTAGTTCCTGGCTGTGCCCCTGGACCACATCTACAGGGCCAGCCTGAAAATTGGCAGAACAGAAAGGAATCATGGGGCCGGCAGCTGTCTGAGGCAGAGATCAGGTGTCTACACCACCTGTGGGAGGCCCAAGGAGGGAGATAACACTCAGGGTCTGAAATGGCCCCAGGGCCCAGACCTTTTGCTCTCAGCCCCAACACCTGCAGATCTGCACCAAGGAGCCTCCTGCTGCACACTGAGCACCTGCCACCCTCCCTTCCCACTCCTTTCCCCTCAGGGAAGCCTGAGCGCATTGCCATGGCCCCTTCCTCTGAGAGGAGGCTGCTAGTTGTTATTCTCAGGTGTGACTCCCACCCTGTCATATTAGTGTCCCCACTCAAGCCACCTGTCACCATCTCTTGCAGGTAGTTTAGTGGAGTGGAAAAATAGGCAACAGGATTGACGCTAACAACAGAAGTTTCTAGAATCTTCCTCTCTCTGCATCTATTTCCCACTCTCCTTCCCTTGCAGAACTAAGCTTGGTGTGATTGGTGTGATTTTGAGGATCTCGACTTTGGCTTCTGTTTCTTTGGCTCTCTACCCTTACACACATATGGGGCGTAGTCTCTGGAAGTCACTCGCCTGAATGGACTTGATAAAACACTAAAGGGAGCAAAAGGCCAGTCCAAGGGTGATAAAGGTTACTGCTTAAAGCACCCACTTCTTACCTGTCCACCCACAGAAGCAAGCGGGAGCCTCTGCCCCTGAGCAGATCCAAGAATTCATTTGACCCAGGCCTCTCAAAAAACCAGCGAAGCTCAGAGAGGGAAAAGGCCTTGGCAGAGTTCACACAGCAGGTCAGAGGCAGTGCCTAGTGTCAATTCTTGGATCCTAACTCTTGATTGATGGCTTTGCTCATGCATCATGATCAGACTCGCCTATAACTGGTACGGGAAACAGGGGCGGTGAGAAATTGCAGAATGCCCTGAGTAAAGCTGTTTTTCGGCTCTCAGAACTCCACTCGGTCAGGCTGCTGTCCTGCACACAACGTGGGCTGTGCTCTGCGATGGTTTCTGTCCAGGAACCCAGAGATTCAGTGACTAGGGCTCCCAGATGTTCTGGTCTGAGCTCCGCAGGAAGTAGAAACAAACCCAAGGCACTGAAGACCATCAGTGACCCCAGCATCATGACTTTGGTGGTGGTGTCCAGGGGAAGTGATGCTTCTTGTTAAAATTGTAAACCTACTTTTTTTATTGGATATTAACATGATTGTGTGTATTTATGGGGTACAATGCAGTACAATGATATTTGCAGCAATGCACAATGATTAGCTCAAGTGGATTGATGCAGTTCAGATACCTCAGATACTTATCATTTTCCCTCTAACCTTGAACCCCTTAGTCAACGTCACCCCAATACCCTGCCCCTTAACCTGTGGTTACCATCATTCTGCTCTCTGCTCCTGTGAGTTCTGTGTTTAAAGATCTCACACATCAGTGAGCTAATGTGGTGTTTGTCTTTCTCTGCTTATTTCACGTAGCATAACATCCTCCAGGTCCACTCAAGTGGCTGTCTGTGACATGATTTCTCACTCTTTAAGGGCTAAATGCTATCACACACCTGTGTGTATATCTACATATATCACATTTCCTTTTTTCAGTCATCAGTCAGGAAGTTCAGGTTTATGTGAATCATGCTGCATTGAACATGGGAGTGTAGGTGTCTCTTGGACATTAGCGTGTCAAATCCCTTCACTGTACCCCAGGAGTTGGGGCGCTGGATCATCTTATGAGGATGAAAAACCTCCAGAAGGTTTTTCACAATGGCTGTGAGTGCACCAGGGCTTCCTTTTGCCCCCCAGGGCCCACACCTTAAATGCACAGCTGAATGGGTTTGTAGCACTGCTGGATACAAGGGAGCTGAGCTTGGGAACTGCTCAGGTCACTTTGGCATTATGAATCCCACAGTTCTGAGATGACTACGCTTCTAACAGGCTTGGGAAGGAATGGAGGAAACCACTGAACACTAAAACATTCCTCAATGGCTTTACCCAATGAAGGGTGGTTCGATAACCTTCCTGAACCAAGAGTGTGTGGCTATGGGGGCTCTGGGAAGCAATGATCTGTGTATTTTATTTAAGTGACGCTGCCTGGTGACTGAGAAGGCAGCTGTCCTTTGTTGAAACAAAGTAGCTGATGGCCACTTGAAATTTATGCTGGTTTTTGCCCTTCAAATCATCTTATGCAGAGCACAAATAAATGAATTCTCTGGGAAAGTGTCTTGGGAGGGTGGGGGCAGAAAACCAACATAAGGTGTTTCTTGCTCTAAATCCTGAGGCTTCCATAAGACCCTCTATATACCGAGCAGAATCTCAGTTTTGTGTCAGACTTCTCCCCAAGCACACAAGGCCAGCTCAGAAAACAGACACGTACTCGGACATGCCAGGCAGTGCAGAGACCCCTGCGCCGGCACTGAGATCTTTGTGTGGCACCGTGGGCTGACATTTTTGTATCTTACTGCAGAGAGTATTTAGTATCTATTTAAATGTTCAGTTTGCCCTAATCATCCTGGCAATAGTCATTGTCTGGTGATTCTCGGCATAATAGAGGTCACATGGATAGCAGGCTGGTGCCGTCCCCAGCCAATGGCACTTGAATGAGGGGCTCTAGTTCCTGCCCCTCCTCCCCCCAGGGGCTCTGCACCTCACACTTTCTCTCTGCTTCTTTACTTGCAGGCTTTCAAAGATTCTGTGAAGACATAGAAATGATGATTGGATTCCAGCCCAACACTTTCTGGAAAGTCTGCTGGGCATTTGTGACCGTGACCATCCTAACCAGAAGGACTGTGTGCTTTCTCATGTGGCTAGCGCCTCGCCTGCATATATGATAATTACACTCAAAGATGTGTTTGCCACTGTGTGACCCTGGGAAGCTGGTGGGAGGAGTATTCTTCTTGTCTGTCAGGTGAGGAAACTGAGGTTTAGAGAGGTGAAGTGATTTGCCTAAAAGTACCCTGCTGGTCAGGTGCATGATTTGCCTAAAGGTACCCTGCTGGTCAGGTGCAACACCCCTCTGAGTGTCCCTATTATATAGATCTGCCTTGTGATCAGGTTTCAGGCAGCAGTCACAGACAGCACGAATCCCATACTAATAATGTGTTTCAGGCTCTACTCACGGGGCCTCATCTGTCTCCCTTGGTAGCTCTGTCTTAGTCACTGTCCTGTCACTTGGGGCACAATACTTTACACCCACAATTTAAAAGACCAAGATTTATTTGGCCCATGGTTTTCAGAGAATGTGTTCTGTAGTCAGCAGGCTCCAGGGCAGGAAGGCATGGTGAAAGGGTCTGGTGGAGGACAGCTGCTTCCATCATGGTGGCCAGGAAGCACAAAGGGAAGGGAGCTGGGAGGGGGAGCTGTATCCTTCTGGTTCATGGCCCCCAGTGGCCGCGTCTTCCAGCCGGACTCCACCTGCCCATTGCAAGTCAGTCAGCTCTGAATTATTTTTCTTTTTAAGAGAAAAATTTACTTGTAGGGAAGCTCTGAATTCTTCAGTGGATGACACAATCACCTTCTGGAAGCCCCGTCTTGGAACATATGAGCATTGAAGTGAGGGACATTCTGATCCAAAACACCACAGGATGTATGGGGCAGGCACTGTAATTATCTCCACAGTGCAGATGAGGAAATCAAAGCCCAGAGGGTCTGTGACTGCCCTGCATTGTTCACTTCATAGTTAGCAGCAGCCTGGATCTGAACCCAGGTAACGGGGCTGCAGAGCTCATGCCCCCAGCTACTGCTCTACAACTAACCCAGCGTTCATCACAGATTTGCTGTTCATTTTTCTTACTTTTGAGGACTGTCTTGGCATCCTCCAGTGTGAAGGAAACAGTTTGGGAGCCCCTGAAATTTATCTTTTCAAAGATCAGAGCCTTTCATGTGTCAGCAAACCTATGTAGGGACTTACATTCACATTCACATCTTGTCACTTTTGTGATTTGCTGTAAGCTGTGTTTCCTTTACTCTGCTCTTCAAACACGATAATCAATGGAGAGTTTGCTTTCCCTCCTTAGCTCACCTGCCTCTTTCCTACCACTGGGCTTCTGGGGATCATGTTATCAAATCCCAAGAAAGTTGCCACCTCCGATTAACCCAATAGGTGGCAGTAGAAACCAGATTAAGATCTTCCATTTTAGTATATGATGCAAACTTTGCTCAAGAAATAAAACATTAAAGCAGAAGTGCAAGATAGAGTGGATGAATACACAATTGTAAAGAAAATCCTTCCTTCCTTCCTTCCTTCCTTCCTTCCTTCTTTCCTTTTTTCCTTCCTTCTTTCCTTTTTTTCTGTCGCAGAGTGAGTTCTAATCCAACCGCCCTAATTTCCTCCTGAAAAGCTAGAGGTGACAAGAGAGCCACCCAGGACCTGTCACTGTCTGCAAGGATGCACATGTCATACCCAGATAGTAGGCCTGAACTGGTCTGAAAAGCCCCTCCCAATTTGGAGCATGAGAGCTGAAAAGGACTGAGCAGGTGACCTGTGGGCTGAGCTCAGGAACCAAACTGTGTGGGACTTGGGGTTTCCTGCAGGCAGGCAGCAGTCCCTAGTAGGTGCCTTCAGCTGTCAGGCCCTTGGACACTTGTGTGCCCCAGGTCTGCCCAGCTCCCCGTTTTCCCCAGTTCCTGCTCCTCAAGGCTTACTGTTGGCTGAGTCCTAATTAGAGTTTGTTCTGGTTTCTACCTTTTCCTTCTGTTCTGGAGAAAAAGGTTAGTGCAAGAGAGTTTGTTCTTTTCTGGATCAGCAAACCACCCAGTGGCAACCAGCACTGCTCAATGCTGAGGTCCCTTATGACAGAGCCACTCATGGACACTGTCTGCGAAGCCTGTGACTTCTTTTGCTGGTTTACACTCTCCCCATTTTATAGATGGGCTCTGAGGCTTGGAGATGTCAGAGCCAACAGCTGGATCCAGGGCTGCCTAGGTTCCCAGCTCATGCTCTGCACCCAGGTGGTCATCTCTGAGTGGAGTTCATTCTGTGTACTTGCATTAAAATTTGGGAGTCGTTATGAGCACAGTGTTAGAAAAGAGGAGTTCTAGGGACTTGCTGTGCTTTTTGAAGAAGCTCTTCACTAAGGCTGTTTTGTGTGATTTCAATGGGAAAACTCCTGCCAGGAAGTTGTAGAGCGCCTTGGGAAGTATGTTGAACCAGAATCCCCTTCTGTGTTGTTGAGAAGCCAGGGACAATTAGCAGCGGTCAGTTCCACACTCAGTTTCATTGTCATCACCAGGTGAGTTGCTGGCACCTTCTCTGGCTGCCATTCAGCCAAAGGCCAGGGTAGACTGGATTTGGCGGCTGGATTACCATCACTTATGGTCAAGCCCACCGGATGACAGGAATTTATGGAAGCTGATGTGTCAGAGGGAGCAAGTCTGGCAAAGAGCAAATTAGTGCCTTTAAGTTTCATGTGATATTTGCGCTACTAGAAATGGGCATCAAAGGACCAAACCCAGTGCTTCTATTTTGCCATTTGCCCTTCTGTAAAATGGACATTTGGAGGCTGTTGGAATTGGCTAGGATTATAGGTTTAAATTGCTTCAGAGCCCCTGAAATAAAATTGATCATTTTCATGCATGCCTTCATGGATTTATAGAGCTATAAATACACACCCTGAAATTATTGTGTACAGAGTCAGATCACGTCACTGAATTAGGCACACATGTAATCAGGTGTATTGCTATTTCTATGGTAAATGAAATGGAGCAGTTTTCCATAATTACACTGGGCCATACTTCCAACGGACTGGTTAATAAAGTTTATGATTCTACAGGGCACATGATTAGCAAGGGACCTAAAGTAGACATCTCTTTCCATAGGGAGTTTTTTCTTTCCTCAACAGTAATCTCCAGGGTCGCTTATGTTATATAATTCAATATACTGAATTATTGTTGCATTGAAATAACCATTCGCCCCTCAGCCTGGGCTTTGCAACAATAATATAGATGCTTTACATGTGCAGAGTGCTTCATGATTTTCCCAAAATACATCCATGTGTTGTTTTACCTGACAATTTCCCACAGTCATTTCTGGGCAGTTCTGGGCAGTTGTGATAGGATGAGAGAGGTGGAGCTGGAAAAGCGAATTGGATGAAGATTCTGGGCTAAAGCTACCACAGGCAGGGTAAAGCCATGCAATCTTCTCTAGGAAACGCCCCACTAAAGGCTGGGCTGGAGCTGCCAGAGCCTGCCCTCTACCTCTGCAGATTCTGCAGGTACCTCTGTTCTGAGTGCGAGTGTCCCCTTGTCCTTTTCAGCTGGGCTGGCCTGGCCTGGCCCTTAGTGTGATCTCACTGCTGTGGCCAGGAGAAGCTCACAGCTGTAGAGACAGTGAACAGAGAATGACTGGTGACCTCCCTGAAAGCTGAGAGGGCTCTAGAGTGAATGCTAGACCGTTGTTCCCAGGACTCCTGTGCGCTGCACTTGGTATGAACTGTGTCCACTTCACAGCAGGGGGGTGTGCAGTGGAGGGCTTTCTCCTCCTCCCCCCAGCCACACTTTAGATCCCAGGTCTCATTGTTAACTGCACATCAGCTTCCCCTCTCCTGAAGTTCTCCTCTCAGCCTCATTCCACCCCAAACACCTGTCACCATTAAACTTAAAATCACTGCCCGTCCTCCTCTTCTTGTGTTAGGAATGACTGAGGGGTCCTAACTGATTCTTGCCACGAGCACAACGTAAGGAGAGCTCTAGCAGTCTTTGAAACGAGGCAGGACTGTCTTTCTTAGTCAATCCCTTGCTGACCCACTTCCCATCTGTAATGCAAAGAGTCCCCACTGTCACTCCAGAGTGGATGGAAAGGAGGCTGCCCCTTGTTGAACAACCTGTGAAGCATGGTCAGGCTTTTGTTACTTATGTGAAGTTACAGGCTTATGGATGCTATGAATCCATCTGCCCTGCCTCAGTCTTGAAGAACCAGGGGTACTTTGGACACCATCAGTGCTACTTAAGTTTTGGTCCAGGACCCATTTATGAGGTTACTGGAAATGCAAGCCATTGTGAACCAGGCAGCTCCTCCAGAATATGGAGGAAATGGAACCCTGGCATGACCTGCAGGTGACCCAGGTGCACGCTCCCATTGGAGAAGCCCTGGACTAGATCGAGGTGAAGAGACACCTGACCGCACAGTGAGAGAATAGCTGTGGGATGTTGCTCTTGGTATCCACACTGATAAAAGGCAGAGACATAGAAGGGGAAGCAGGATGAGAACAAGGTGGTAAGTGAGCACACAAAGCAAAGGTCTGCAGGTGGCTGGAAGCTTCTGATGGAGTTTGATTTGGTCTAGGGAAGGCACAGGAGTCATCTTGTTCCAGTTTGCATCTTCAGGAAATCCTGCTCATCTTCCCCTTGAGATAAAGTGGCCCCATTTTCCCCCAGAGAGGGCCATGCATACCCCGGATTAACCTCCCCACAACGAGACCCAGAAATCTCTGTCCCTTAAAACAGAACCCAGTTTCAGCTCCTGCTACTGTTGTCTTAGGCTAAATTCTCTAAACCAATGAGTCAGCCCTATGAATTTATTACGGTTGATTTGGGACACAAAGGTTGCAAAATGATGATTAAGGGGAGATTAAACCAATAGCTATAAGAACCAGCTTTGCTCTAATAGGTAATAAACATATAATCACCCCCTTTTATATCATCAGAAATGTTTTCTTTCTTTTTTCTAGAAAATGATTCAGACAAATTATGTTTTCTATAAGAATTTCAGTAGAAGCAGCAAAAACTCTGCCACTATTTTAGTTTGCCTGTAAGAACCCACACTACTGAACTGAGTCAGGAGCATATATTTTTGTCAGTAGAGCATTAAAACCTTCACTTGTGCTTAGCAGTGTATCTTTGTGGGTTTTTCCTGCTCATTCATACACTTTTGGAAAATGCGCGAAGACAAATCCAATGACTGTGATGTAGCAATCCACTGTTGAGACCACAGAGCAGAAGTAATTGAGCACAGGTCTTTCACAGACTGTGGCTCACAGATTCCTGTCATTTGGAGGGAGGGAAAAAGGTATAACTAAATGTGGGCCCTTTGTCCTTTATTAATTTTGTGCAGTACAAACGTGCAGCCATTGTAATATTGCTTACAGGATGATATAAACAGTGTCAGGTGAACCATGCTGGGTATATCTTTACTGTGCCTGGGCCAGCTCATTAAAGGGACTTATCTTCCTAACCACCTCTCTTGGGCCCAAGCAGGAGCCATGGCAAATGTGATCCTAAGCAGTTTGGGCACAAGTTCATGTTCCCTGGGGGATGGTGGCAGAGGTGTGCGTTGCTTTCTGTAACCACTCATATCTTTGTGTTCTTTGCAGAGGCTGAAGTTGGTGTGCTCACTGCAACCAGACTGGGATCCATTTTTACACTTTTTTACACTTTTTTACACATTTTACACTGCAGGGAGTGCTACAAGAACAGGATCGATCTACTGGGAACCTCTTCCCTGGGTCTCAAACTGCCAGTCAAGGATTTGGAACTGGGTACCCAGTGCTAGCCCAGCATGTGGAATGGCCCAGACTTTAATCTGTTTGTCCTCTGCTTCCTCCTTTTGCCCAGGTTCCCTCTCATTCCCCTTCCTCCCATATCTTCACTCGCAACCATGCATGGGTGTGGTAGCAAAGTAGGACCTGGTGCCACATGCTGTAGTGAGAGCCACAGGGACCACTTGAAGCACTGTTTGTGTCCCTGGTGTCAGTTTCTGGAAGTGGTGGTCTCCTGAGCACAGTCTCCTCCCCTGGGCCCTCCTGGAGCCCTAGGAGGGGTACATGGCTCGGTTACCAGATGAGGATCTGCTGTGTTTCATCACTGGGGTGCCAGGCATAGAAGAGCAGAGTTTCAAGACTGTTAATTTGGACTTATTAGCATTGCAAAGCCGACCTGCATATGCAGGGATTTCACTCAGGCCCCCAGAGTTCAGGACTGGGTCCATTTAGAGGGACAGCAGTGGCCAGAAATTGTTTTATACATAAGGCAAAGCCAATGGACTTGGACACTACCGAGGCTGGTGAGTTCCTATTTCCAGCTGTCATCACATCTCTTTCCTTACTTGGAACAAGGATACCACGACCTCAAATGCTCTGCTCCTGCTCTCTGTGGGGCAGGTAAAGTGTCCATTCTTCGCCCTCAGTCATCTTGTCTTTCTGTAATTGCATTGTGAGATCTTCTGGTCATTTCTTCTCCTCCACCACAAGAAGCCATCCTATGATTTGTGCCTAATTTTGTATGTTCACGTTAGAGCTCCGCTACGGTTTTTGTGTAACATTTAGTGTCAGGATTCAGTACCATGATCCTTGGTTTCTTCTCCTTTGAGTGTCTTTCTATAAGCTGTAGACACCTTGTCTTTCAACCTCTTGGGCAACAAGATTTACCCTGGTTCTGACTATATATTATATATGTAAGACACACACTTTTCAAAAACCATTTCTCAATTTATACTCAACTTTTTATTACAATAAATGCCAATTGTTACAGAGAAATCAAAGACATGAAGAATTTAATGGAAGGAACCATAATATTCACTGCACTGTAGCACATCTTAGGTCACTGTGTTTACAGAAATTACAGATAGATGCAGCTTAGGTCAGTAGAGAGTGATCCAGATAAGACTAGCTTTTAAGACTACACTTAGCCAATTCAGTTGTAAGAGTTTCTTATTCGCAGCGTTCATTGTAACTGCGCTCCAATGAGAGCAAATCACATGTCTGCCAAGATTGGAGAAATGGTAACGCTTCTTACCTTCTTGTATTCTGAAGATGCATATATGAAATTTTAAAAATGTGATATGTGCTTATGTAGTGTGTACTCATAGTGGTGTTTTCTGTCCTTATAAATATCTTAGGAATCACTATAGACGGTGAATTTAGCACAATGTAGTCTAGGCCTTTTTCTTTTCTTGCAATATTAATATGTAAACCTAAAATTGTTTCCTTTAGGGGAGACCATTTCAATAATTTTCTTATTCATTTGTCTTCACATACCGGATCTCAGGCAAAGTTCTCAGTTCAAATCTTGTATATTGATGTGATATTTTCATCTTGTTCAATAGTGATGAAACCCAACAACAGGGTTTGGTGTTAACATTTTAAAAAGATGACTTCCTTTGTACTGAATTATCTGAACTATTTTTCTGAGCGCTTCCTTTTTTTAGGGCAAAGAGCATCAGTATTTGCCAGCAAGACTGTGACTGTCCAGAGTAGCTTGTGAAAGGTGTTGGGGAAAGAAACACAGATGGGTCTAACTGTGGGTTTTCCCATCTCCCATCTCCCATCTGCAGTATGTCCGTCCTTTCTCTTCCCGTCCTTCTCCTTTACACCCCACAGCTGGACCTCCCTGACTTTCAGAAACACTGAACCTCCAGCTTCCCCTAAACTCATTTTCAGGAAGTTGAGGCATGGCCTTGCCTGTCCAGTGTTTGCTATCGTGACCTGTCTGTCATCAAATTTCCCCAAGAAAGCCATATTGATGAGAGGCCTCTGTTCCCATACAAGATGTCACAGATGATACCAAAATTTAGCTTCCACAATTGATGCCTGGAAGAGAAGTGGGGAGAGATAAAAAAGCTTTTCAATCTGAAGGTGGAAGCAAATATGTTAAATTAATTAGCATTCTCTTTTGGGATTGGTGTCTCTGTCATGGTGAATGGGTTTCCTTCTGCTACTTGGCTGAAAATGAGTTTGTTGCTAGACACCAACCCTATTTCTGCTAATTATTACTCTTGTGACTAAAGGAAGGGAGAACTCCCATGGCTCCTGCTATTTGCAAACAGAAAGCTAACTGTTATGAGAATGGAGACCACCTTGTTCAGTAGTGTTTGGGGGTAGTTATAAAGAATTTGTGTTACTAAGATTTGTCCAGCAAAACTCAGTAGCTGCGTGCTCAATAACTGTGGTTCCCTGCCAGTCTCTGCTCCCACAAATTTTGTGATTTCATACACAGTTTGCTTAAAGAATGTTGCTCAGGTGAGTGGCTCTGAGCTTACCTGGAAATGGCTAGCTTTTAGATTTTAGATTTAGTAAGTTTTTACAGCCCTTTTGGGTTTGAGGCTTTCTCCAACAGGATGTTTCAGTGTTCTAGGTGTGTCCCATTGTGTATCCATAGCTTTATGTATGTATCCATAGCTTTATGCTTCCCGTGGACTTGGCTGAGATGCTCAGAGCTGAGATGCATCTCACTGGATGGCCGGCTCTCATGATATTAACATGTATTGTCAACTGGAAGGGAGAAAACCGAGTAAAAATAAAATGAAATGCACGGATATAACCCTGCACCTCAGGGCTGCCCTTCAAGCTGGGGAAAACTGAGCTGCTTAGGAAAGACTTTCGGCCAGTCACTGTGCCAACCAGTTGGGACATTTTTCAGTTGTGAAATTATCTCCTAACACCAACAGATGTCAGAAACCTATTCAGAGAAAAATAAGCCATATTGAAAAACAGTAACCCTCTAACTTCCTTACAAGAGAAAAAAATGTGTATTTCTTAACTATTGGTGTTTTGGTTTCTTATGCAAATATTTGTCTTGTGTATTAGTAACTTTTAATCTTTGTGTCGTGTGCTGTGTTTGTCATAAGCAAATATGTCTTTAGTAATTGTTTTTTTCCCAGTATATTTATTTATTGCATGAAATGTGTGATCAGTGCAAAATCTGAATGACCTCCCACCTTTGAAATTACCAGCATGTGTTTAATACATAAGGAAGGTAATCAGCTTGTATTTCAGTGAGCAACACCTTAAAAAGAGTGACACAAAGTAATCTCTGTGTAAGACTTGAGATGTCTTCATGGCTTTGCGGGATTAGGAGTTGACTTTTGTGTCTGTTTTCTGTCCCGTCATCTTCCTGTGCCCCAATGCTTCCTGTCCACCTTCCTCTCCTGTCAGCATGGTTTCCCCATGTCCCAAAGTAAGAGTTTTCTTTCCTCTCTGTTCCCCTGGCCATGGGTCACTGTCCTCTTCCTAGAGGCTGGCACAATCCCTGTGGCTCAGTGTGGGTGGTGGCAGGATCAAACCATCTTGGTCACTCCTGGGTTTGCAGCTTCCACTGCTTCTTTGAGGCAATGACTTGAGTGGGAGGGTTCCCTGCGTAGCAGGTTGTCCTGCAGGGACAAAAGGTCAAGGCCAACAAATAAGCGTTTCCCGTGTTTCATGCTGGGTATCATGAGGAAATCTTGCAGGCTGGAAGAAAAGACTGGTGATTCCCTCTGGATACGCATTTTCCTGCAAAGTGGGCCTGAGATTTGGAAAGTGAAGCTTCCTGCCTTGCCCGGATTTCGCTTTGGTTTTCCAGGAAGGCCAAGGAGTTATGAATTGTGGTCTTTGCTCAGGTCACAGCTGAGCAGCCTGCAGCCAGCAGAAAGTGTTTGCAGACTGAGGATTCATCACCTCTGAAAAGCACACAGAGGTATGATCTGCTTGGCATGGATGAAATAAACCTTCGGGTGACCATTTGCCTTACAGGTATATTTTACTGTTAGGGTGATACTTAGAAATTCACTAGGAGCTGTTTTGTTTCTCATTTGCTGGTCTTTCTTTGTACTTTATTATGGACCTATCAAGGAATACGTTACTGCTTAAATTGTGTACTTGGATAATATCCTATAAGCAATGAATAAAGATATGTTTTGCAAGTCAGGTCCTTATATTTTTTCATTAACTGTACATGAAGAAAATATACCATGTCACAAATGACGCATTGTAGATACTTACAGAGTATGTGTTATATACTCTGCATTAATCACTTATAAAGTCATTATTCTTGAGGCTCTACCTCAAATTTTATATTCATGTGTACAAGTGCAATTTATTGTATTATATCCTTGCCTATTATATACAGATATAAGTTAGAATTTAGCCTAATAATGTACGAATTCACGAAACCCTAAATAAATGTCAGAGTTTAAAACAAATTGCAGGATCGTGTCTGCAGCAAACCCATTACCTGCCATCTTTCCTTCTTACAAACAGCCTTCAGGCTTTCCTGGATTGGTCGGTTTTATTGTGAGAAACGTGGAATAGCAGAATAGCGTTGGAAAATTGCCCTCCTGGGAAAATGAGACACCGTTGTGCTGTGGCAGAAACAAATACCAATTAAATTGTTATATTCTTAACCATCAGAATGCACTATTGTTTGGTGAATTATTAATTAGCCTTCATGGGCAGGAGAGCAAGAGAGAAAATGAGGGAGATGAGAGAGGGGGAAGAAGAAAAGTGGGGGGGGGGATGAGTATCTCCTAGATCTTAAGTCTGCCTCGGGGAAGGAGCAGGTTAAATCTCTCTCTGTGTGTTAGTGATTATTTTGTCCGTTTTTTATTCCAATTCAGTAAGCATCTACAAAGCTCCTGCCTTGCCTTAGACAAAATTAAATAAAGCAGTCCTAGACCTCAAGGAACTCAGAGCCTGCACTAAGCATGTAGTTAAGCCAGTGCCATTCCTGTCTTTTTGAGCAGTGTGACCCTCACATTCCTGCCCAGAGAATGGGCCCTGAGGTCCTGAGCTGTGGTCTCTCCTGTCTGTTCCTGTTGACCAGAAGCTGGGCTCTGAGCTCCAGGTGTATGACACACTCATGCTCTGTCTGGAGTTGGTGTTGGATGGTTAGGGGGTGATCTGGGCCACTCTAAAAGCCTTCACAACCAGTGCTGAAATCCCTATGCTGAGAACACAGGCTATGGCCAGGCTCTGTCCCAGGAAGAGCTCACAGTGGTGAAGCCCACACAGGTGCTCAAGTTGGCCATGAATCTGCACTTCAGCAAGTGCCCAGCTTACATGCTGAGCTTGGCATGGTGTCTTCTGTCCCCAGTTGAGGTCCCCCAGCTAGGAGAGCGCCTGCCCTGTGGGATCAGAGCCTGATGCAGCTCACTCCCCTCTCTTGCTCCTGAGATTCTTTTCCTCCTTGGGCTTTGAAACTTTCTGTGCTAAAAATTCTCAGCTCCATGTAAAATCAGAGAGAATGAGGAGCGCTTGTGCCAAGATCATTTGTTTTCCTTCATTATCAACTCAATCTATTTCATTTTCTTTGTTTTTTTCTTAGACTCACTGAAGTATTTTTATTGATATAAATAGTAGAATTTTTAGAGAAACAGTAACATCATAATGTTGAAAGAATTGTTCCAGCTTCAGTTTGAATTGTGACCATGTGTCACACAGAGAGACTTAACTGAATTTAAAATGTTCATCACAGGTGGCAATGTGCTACCATCTAACTGACAAATAAGAAAAAGCATGAGAAAAGATAAAGTATGACCATGGGGTGGGCAGAGAAGGGGACCCACGCTTAAGTCTGAAGGGTTCATATTTCATGTTTTCAGTCCTACTGGTGTGTCCTTCCCCTTCCCCTTCCCCTTTCTCCTCCTCCTTCTCCTCCTCCTCCTCCTCTTCTTCTTCCTTTCTTTTTCTCCTCTTCTGCTTCTTCCTCTCCTCATCCTCTTCTCTTTCTCTTCCTTCTCCTCTTCTTCCTCCTCCTCCTCCTCCTATTCTTGTTTTTTCTTCGTGTTCTTTTTCTTTTACTTCTTCATTTATTTGAGGGGGAGGGACAATGTCTCACTCTATAGTCCAAGCTAGCCATGAACTCATGGTCGTCCTCCTCCCTTAGCCTCTAGCATGCTGAGATTTCTAGGCATGTGTCACCATGCTTGGCTCCCTGTTACTTATAACACTGGATTATAAGGAGACGAGTTTACATCCAAAGCCCTTTGGTAAAGGGACTGATCCTCTAACACTACCCATCAGAAAAACTCTGCCCCAGCTTTTTCCCTCCTCACAAATCCTGCAGTGAAATCGACCTGGACTCCAAACCTTATGTCCTCTTCCAATTTCATGCTGAGTTTGGAAGATACCCCTGCAACTCCATCACTCTCTACGGCTGCTAAAAGGATGTTTCCAGAAGTGCATTGTCTTCAGGGTTGCACTGGGAAGTAGGTTGCACCTTCACACCCTTCCCACACAGGAGCTCTGCTCCTGGGAATTTAGTCCATGGAACTAGAACACAGCACAAAAGACGCCTGCATATGGGAGAAGGCGTATTGCCAGGGTGTCCATGGGAGGAAAACGTCTAAACAGAATAAATGTCATGTACAAAAGAAGGCTGAATAAACTACGTTTTTTTTCTCTAAAATACAAGAATATATTCTAGGAACAGCAGAGGTTCAGAGTAGGAAGAAGTAGGGGCTGGGGATTTAGCTCAGTGGCATAAACGCCTGCCTTTGAAGCAGACAGTCGTGAGTTTGATACCCGGTACTGATAAAAAGGAAAAAAAGACAAAAAAAAAAGTAGGAAAAATTTAAGAGGAAGAAAGCTTCTATTTAAGAAGCACAGAAGGGGGCCCGGAAAGTGGGTTGTCCCTATTTCATTTTACCATTTCCACCCCTCTTCTTAGCATTTCTTTGGAGTATTTCAAAGCAGATACTTGGTATGTGATATTTCAGTTGAGGCTGCTCTGCTGTGTTTTTGTATCCTTTTGAATCAGTCTACTCCTACATGAGGGTAAGGTCAATTTCTGAGTTTGGAGTTCACTCAGCACAGCAGGAACCCCCTACTGTGAGCGGATACAAGGGGTGCAAGGATGGCTGGGAAGGAGCACGCAGGATGTTCACCATGAAAACTATGCTGACTCCTCCATCCCGTCTTTCTCCTTGCACGTCCTTGTCCTCTATTTCTGTCCTTGTACTTTACTTTCTTATCCGGCTCTCTCCTGGCCCTTTGAATTATTCTCTGCCTTTGCTCATGCTTCCTCCCCCTTGTCTCTAGACCTCTTTCCTAAAACAAGGGATTCAGAATCTCACCATTGCACAGGACCCCAAGGTCATGAGTTTCAGTGTAACCAAGACACAAACCCTTTCCCAACACTCCCTCTTGTGGGAGTTAGATTCACAGTATGATTCAATAGGGTGAGTAGCTGGTATCTGAAGAGTCACAGTAGTGGTGGGTTGGGGCATCATAATTGGAAGGTCCTCTAGTGCCTTTCAAGTGGCTCAAATTTACAAAAATTGGAGTTCTCTCTCTCTCTCTCTCTCTGTATCTCTTTCTCTCTCTTTTTTGATATTGGGAATCAAACCCAGGACTTTATGCTTTCCAAGCAGGCGCCGTACCACTGGGCTATACCCCTGGCCCTGGGTTTACTTCTCTGATCACACATTCTGCTATATAAAGTTGAGTCCACGTGTGGTTTGTAGTACCACTCTCTTTTGCCTTTAAGTGCCATCTGTAACTCTGTGAGAACTCTGATGCTGTAGTCATTCAATCCATCCCCGTTCTCTACCCAGTAGGGTCAGGAGGAGAGAATGACAGCAATGATGGGGTCACATGGAAGCACAGTCAGGTTTTTGTCAAGCACTGATTCATTACTTGTTCATTTACTTTCACACTGCACTCGGTGTCCTAATTATTTATACCTTTCTGGTGCCTGCCAGTCTGTGGAAGATGGCAGATACAAATGTGTTTTTAAAACACTGAATGAACAAATAGTGAGGGTGAGCTCTCTACGAGGAACAGAACTGAGAGTCACAATGTGCAAAGCAGCCTGGGTAAGACCAAGTCTCTCCCTCGGGGTCACTCACAGTGGGTGAAGATTTAAGACCTCATCTGTGTTGTCCTCATGTACCCTGGAAAGCACTAGGAGCCACAAAAGGATTAAGGACAAAAGTAGACTGAGTGGAGTGAAGGGAGAATTCCCTTTGCCTTGGAGGATCAGTAGGATCTCCGGAAATGGGGTGCTGGTACGTGAGAAAGACTTTGACTATCGGATGGCAGCTGGATGGTTGGTCTCCCAGGGGGATAAAAGCACATAAGAATGTGTGATAGAGGGCTGGGGATTTAGTTCAGCGGCATAAGTGCCTGCCTTGCAAGCAGGTAGTCATCAGTTTGATCCCTGGTACTGATAAAAATGAAAAAGACAAAAAAAAAAAAAAAAGACTGTGTGATGGATAGATCTGGAAAGTCTACCATAAGGCAGAGGAAGTGGGAACAAAGCCTGGTGGTGTAGTTTAGGACGTGATGATCATGTGGCTTCAGAGGCAGCATAGGAGTCCAGAATTTGTCAGCCAGGACACAAGGAAGACTGAGGCTACTGAAGAGAGCACGGGTATTTCCTGACTGGCGAACCTCTGAGGCTAATATTGAATTTGATCTTTCTTGTATTAGGGCTTTGAGATACAGTTTTTCTTTGGGAGGAGCTGCTGGGTATCAAACTCACGACCTTACATTTGCCAAGCAGGCACTTACAGCACTGAGTTAAATCCCCAGCCCTGAGATAGTTATTTTTAAAAACACTCTGCCTTCCCCACTCCAAAGTGGAGAACACTTATAAGTGGAGGGCCCTGACAGTCTCTGTATGCAAGCCCCGCACCCTTTTCTCTCTTTCTTTTGAATGGTTCTTGACTCTCCATGACACTATCTTAAGGAAGCACAGTGAACCCAAGCTATGAAAGTATTTGTATGTCACAGAGTTGCTACAGCATGAAGAATTGGGGGAGACCGATGACTCTCTCTGGAGAGATGATGACTCTCTCTGGATTCCTGTTCTTCCCTTCTTAGCAACATCCCAGACTTAACCAAAGCATGGCATTTCTGGTTCCTTGCAAGATCCGGTAGCTTGACATGGCTCTGTGTCTTCACTTTTCTCTGAATCAGTCCGGATTCTACGAGGAACTGGGCCATCGCTCTTTGGTTCTTTGTTCTTTGTGAACAAATTCAAGCAGCACTGGTGGCCATGCAGAGACATAGAATTTACTGCAAAGTAGACACGGACAGAGCGATGCCATCAGGTGAGAAGGTGGGCAGTGTCACAAAGACATCTGCTCAGGCTGGAGCCTGGATTCCTTTTCATGCACGCAAGACTCACTTCTGGGGTTCGGGAGCATGAGTGATACTGATGGTTACAGTTGTTCCTCTTAGGGGTTATTTTGGAATGTTGCTCTCTCAAAGAGATCTTCCTCCTCATTTTAAGATGCTCAGTGTTCTCTCAGAAGCCTTAATCATGTAAGAAACTTATCAAAGAAATCTATGATAGCAAAATTTCTAATCCCAACCAGGTCTCGTCCCAAGGAGGGAGGGTGTTTAGAGAACGCCCTTCTCTCTGGTGTCTTTGAGCAGAAGCTGCGGCTCCTGAGAATGCTGTGTGCTTTGGTTTGGAAACCATCCCCCAGGGGGCAGGTATTGCAAGGCATGTGTACAATGCCTAATGTGCTCTTTGGGATGGCTTTGGACCTGAGATTTAACAAATGAGTGTAAATTTATTACACAAGAGGTCTCTTCAATGAGATGTAAATGCACAGTAAAGGCAACTTTCTTTACTTAGCCATAACTGGCAGCCTCTTTGTCCCTGGAGCTCTGGGCTGTCTAACTGGCTGCGGGACAATGGGAAGACTGTGCACCTTGCTCCTTACCCTGGCACCTGTGCCTTGGTCGAGTGCGTGGGAGTCAAGGTGGTGGTGTCCAGTTTAGCATCTAGATCTTAATACACATTGCCCATTTCCACCTGCTCTTTGGAACCTTGGGAGTACACATCCCAGCTGGCTGGTCAGTGGGCCCAAGGAACACAGAGGATACTGGGACAGAGTCATTGGTTAAAACACAGACCCACAGTGAGAGGTGGAATCCACTCAATTCCTGAAGTCTGAGAACTTCCTGTCTGAGGTCAGCGGGGAGGAGCTGAACTTTAGCCAACCTGCAGAGATTCCGGGATGAATGTTTGGTGTTGCAGAGCAGTGTGGACATTTTCAATGTTAGCTCTTCCCAAATGCTATCAACAACAACAATAATAAAAGCTTAATGTGGTGTGCCACAGAGTTTGGTATCTGTGTGTTGTGTGGCCCTGGGTAACGGATGTGCGAAGAGTAGCCCAAATGTAAATGGAAGTGATATGTGAGACTTTCTGACTTGCACTTCTCCTTCTCTCCATTGTCTTACCCTGTTTGCTGTCTGGAACATGGATGCAATGGCTGAAGCATCTATACCCTAAGTTCACCATGAAGACATTGTCATGATCATGGAGAAGAGATCTAAAGAGCCCTGGACTTCCCAGAGCCATCAGATTGAACCTGGACTCTGGAACTGTAGAATTATTTTTCCCGAGGAAAGATTATATATCTGTTGTTTACATTACTATTATTTGGGAGTTTTCTTGTTATCTGAAACCAGACTGAATCTTTAGTGACACAGGAGGTCAGATGAACTGAAATGACCAGGAGACCCAGGAATCTTTGGGAAATAAGTGGGAATTTATTGCTACTTTGGTGACAAAGATAAATTTTTTGACCTGTGACTCTGAGAACATTCTAAAACACTGAAAAAGACCAATGTGTGCTGGGTGGTTTTATGCAGACGGGCAGAGCCAGTCACATGAATGGATATCATAGTTTGTTCCCTAAGGAACCTACAGCGAGCTCTCCCTGTTCAAAACTGTCTTTCCCATAGCAACACCCTGTGGCCCGGAATTTCTCCAGATATTTACAGCATGCTGGGTCAACAGTCCTGCCCATGAAAATTACAAGTCAGTGAGGAATGTTCAATCTGTCCCAGCTCAAGGAATTTGAAAAGGACACTTCCCTTCGAATTTTCCTACAGAGTGGGATAACAGTGCTGAGCACACAGGACTTCTACGTACAATAAACAATCTTTTAAGAGCTGAGAGAGAGTGCCACGTGAGCAGCCCTGACCCACTGGATGATGGAGGGAATCTTTATGGAGAAAAGCTTGAAGGTTGACTGAGGGATCATCTTTTCTCTACACTCCTGGTCTCTGTGTGAGGGGTTCTTTTTGGAATACTCCTGGCCTTTAAGTCCCCTTTCTGCTCTCTCATTCCCCATGGAAAAGGTTGACAGCCAGTGCTTTTCATTTCTCCCTGAGATCTCTCTCACCTTCTGTTTTCATTCAACCAGTGGGGCAGATGGCCATAGCAAGGTCCAACCTGGAGGGAAGGCAGATGGCCCTTATATCTTGGCTTTCACATAATATTATGCTCTTCCAGCTCTCTCTGTATTAATGAAGATGCTGTCTTGGCCTCCTGCTGATTCTCTTACTTCTCAATGAGTCCAGAGCTCAGTCAGTAGTTATTTATTGGTCGATCAAAAAACCTCAGCAAGAGACTGAATTCCTAGGCCTCATCTGAGGAGAAAGAGTAGAGCTTAATAATTTAGTACAGTTTGGTTTCACACTCCCTAAATTTGAAGCTTGGTTTCAGTACCTATTTGGCCACTGGCTCAGGTTTTGTGTCTATAGAGTCAACACAATAATCCCACTTAGCCAATTGGGTTGTCCTGAGGGACAGATACATCAGTTCACAGGAAGCCAGAATACAGTAACCCACCCATAGTTATGCTAAATAAATGCAGGCAGTGCCACTGCACTAGGGGCTGGGGCCAAGTCTCTCTCCAGGGTCTTTGGGAGGCTCTTATCTGTTTTGCTGGGGCAGACAACATGTCCTTACTTGACACTTACTAAAACCTAAGTATGTGCACGCCTTGGTTCTCATCGTGAGAAACTCAAAGCTCAGCGCAAATTATTGATGTTATTGATTAGAACAGTTTCATCTAAAACATTATGAGGTGCATTTCCCCATATGTTCTATCTGTATTTTTTCTACCTATTTTTCCCACAGACCTACACCCAGATTTGTCCTGAAAGTGTTTGAAGCTACGTAACAGAGAAATGAGATAGTTACTCTAATTTGGGTATCTTGAAGTTGACTGTAGTTGTCAGAATATAGTCCAGAGTTTTCATGTGGAACCCACATGTTCATGCAGAAGCCTTTGTGAGTGCAGGTACACTGCAAGAATTGAAAACATCCATCCAGGTCAGGGCTGCGTAATTTCACAGGGCACTGGGGCTGCTATGTTTGTGAGGGAAGCTTGGTGTTTTCACACTTTCCTGGTTCTGACAGCAAATTGCCATTTGTATTAGTTTCCTATTGCTTTCGCAACAAATCACTGCAAACTGGGAAATTTCAAACAACAGAAATTTAGTCTCTCACAGTCCCGGAAATTTCAAGGCTGAAATCCAGGTTGAAGGAGCCAAGCCCTCCTGATCCCTCCAGGGGAGGAAGAGTCCTTCCCTGCCTCCTCCAGCCTCTGGTAACTCAGGACACCACACTTCCATGTCAGTCACTGTGATTCCCTGATGACCTCTCCCTTATGCCTGCTCCTGCATTTTTCCCCTGGAGTTTTCCTCTTCCCTCAAGGACACCAGTGACAATCGGCTGAGGTCCACACTAATGACAGCAACTTACATCTGCAAAGATCAAATCTTAAATACGGCCGCACTCTTTGGTACCAGTGGCCAAGGCCTTAGCATATCTTTTGGGGCAGTGTGGCAGGTACAATCCAGTCCAGGACAGCAACACCATCCCATTGTCTCCTCTTTTATCAGGAAGCTTGTTATGTGTCCATAACATGAGGATAGCTGTAAACTGTTCAGAGGAAGAGTGACTTAGCCTGGGGAACTGGGGGGCAGTCAGTGAGATGGATGGTTTCTCAGGCTCAGACCAACTCTAGCTTCCGACTTTAGTTTGGATACTGACTCTTCCTCTAACGCTGCACACAGAGTTATTGACAGAGCAACTCTGGAGTCCCAGGGGTGAGGCAGCTTCCCTACACAGGGTCCCACTGGAGCAGGCAGTCTGCTTGTTGTCTGCTGCTGGTCATTGAGAAGAGTCGCTTTCCTATGGGAGAAACACTGTTTCATTCACCTAACAGTTACAAATTCCTACCATGTGCCAGGCAGTGCTGTAGGTGGAAAGATGCATGGTGGACAAGAAAGACAGAATTGTTGTTCCTGTGGAGGATGCATGACAGTGGGAGAGACCAAGAATGCCTAAGAAAACAGGCAGCTTGCATCATTTCAGGTGAGAATCAGCACAGTAGAAAACAAGGCAGAGTGTGGAGAAAAAGGAATCGGTCTCCGCTGTAGGTGGGAGTGTAGACCGGCACAACTGCTGTGGAATCAGTGTAGGGATTCCTCAGAAAACTAAGAATAGAGGTCTCATTCCACCCAGCTGTTCTTCTTTTGGGGGACTTCCTGGACGAATTAAAAACATCATACCGCAGCAACAGGTGCACACCCATGTTCATAGCAGCACACTTTGTAGTCGCCAAATCTTGGAACAGCCCAAATGCGCGTCAACCAAGGAATGGATACAAAAGATGTCGCATTTTTATACAACAGAGTGCTTCTTGAGCAAAAAAGACGGATACACTTGAGGCATTTATAGGGAAATGGATGCAACTGGAGAGCAACTCATAAGTGAGATAAATCAGATTCACATGTGTAAACATCATGTTGTCTTCTCTCAGCTTCTCACACTAAAGACAACATGTTTACACATGTGAATCTGATGTATCTCACTTATGAGTTGCACCCAGTTCTAGGGGCCTGTGTGAAGAAGGAGGGGAGGTCTGGGCGCTGAGCGGGGACTCAGACACCGCGACCTCTGGTCCTTACCCTGACCAGATCCAGAGGCCTGACTTCTGAGCAAGGGACTGGCGCCCCTGGACCCGGGTTTCCGGAGGAGAACCCCCAGCCGCGTGGGTTCAGCGGCTCCGGGATGGCCTGGTGAACTGTGGCAACTTCCAGCCGGCGACAGTGGCGAGCTCAGCTCCGGGGGATCCCAGCGCGTGAGTCCGCTGGTCTCTGGCTCCTCCCTCTCCGCCGCGGGTCCCGGGACTCCGGCTCCGCTGCTCCGGTTGGGGGCAGCAGTCTCGTTTGCCACCAGCGTCTTTGAGCTCCTCGGGCGCAGGAAACCAACCGCCTCTGCCCGCAGCGCCAAGCGCAACCTGCCGGAGTGGCCGAGCCTGAGCTCCCGCTCAACGCCAAGGCAAGCGCAGCGGCGGGGCCCGGACGGAGCTGCGGTAGGGGCGGGCTAGGGGCGGGCTAGGGGCGGGGCTCCGTGCGGGGCGCGATCCCAGAGCCAGCGCAGCGCGCGGCGCGGCCCCGCCTCCTCCCCGCCGCCCCGGAGCCGCAAGTTTGGCGGCTCCGAGCCCTGCGCGCATTGGCACCCGGCACCTCTGTTCCTGCTGGCCTCGGTGCGCCTGCTCGGCAGGGACCCTCGGAAGCGATGCTCATGGATGTGCTTTTAGTTGTAGGGTTCTGCGTGTGTACTGCCAGGACAGGTAAGCAGGGCGGGGCGTGGGAGGGATTCGGGGAGTGGGAAGGGGGCGCACCGCGGCTGTGGCCTGCGTCCACACTAGCATAGGCAGATTGAGACTGAGCTCGGTGCCGCCCTGGGTGAGGTCAGCGGCACGGGTTGGTCCTTTAGATCTCTGTGCCCCGCTCGGGGTGAAAGGGCGACCGCGGACCTCGCGGGCTCACAGGGATACCGCGAATGTCCTCCTCTCCTGGGACGCGCCTGCCTGCGGGCGCTCGGGAGTGAGGGGTGCGGCCGCTCCGGAGTGAGGGGTGCGGCCGGGAGGTCACAGCCGGGGGCTGCTAGAAACCAGCTTTCTGGCTGCAGGGGGTCCAAACCTGCAGCAGGGCGGACCCGACAGGCCAGCGTCCCGGAACTTGGACGGTCCCAGGCAGGGGGCAAACTGCTCTCTTAGCCAAACCAAGACCCCAACCTGCTGAGAGGCACCCGGGGCGGGGGGACGGGCTTGGCCGAGCCTGAGAGGGGCCTGAGAGGGCGCAGCGGGGAGCGGGGACCCAAGACCAAGACCCTTGCTCTCTCCCAGGCCCCGAAGACTCCCAGGGCAACTCTCGGAGTATCCGTGCTCTCGCCGGCTTCTGCCCCAAGAACCGGGAGAACACTTTTATTTGGTGTGATTGCAGTAGCTGAGACTATGGGGAGATTTTCTGGAGGTCTAACAGAAGATTGCGGGGCGCGGGGGGGGGCGGGGGGGGAGCACGGACAACAGGCCTAATTGTCTCAAGTCCCCGCTCTGCTTTGCTTCTGGGGCTCCATTGTGGGGACCCCAGGAGCACTTCCTTCTGCTTCCACCGGCTCCCTTTCCCCAGTCCCCTGGGGCTCCAGCCCACGGTAGAGGCTTTCCATAAGAGCTACTAGGAGATGCTGGAAGAACCATGTGAGCTGAGGAGGGTTAGAAATAGGCAAAAAAGCAGGGGCTGCGGGGTCCAGAAGCCTGTCCTCTGGACAGGTTGGCCACTCACTTTGAACCCCAAGATGCATGCATGGGCATCTCCTCACCCCTAATCTTTTCCCCAGGGCACCCTGATTTTCCTTCTCCAGAGGTGCAGCGTCTTTCCTGGCCAGCAGGCAAGTTTATCTGGAAAGGGCCCCAGGAGGGGCACTGGCTCTTGGTTGGCTCAAAAGTTCTCTCTGCCCTTGGCCCAGGAGCCCCTCTTGGCTGTAGGATCCACGGATCCCAGGCCACTAGAAGCTTCCAGCTGGGACTGAGCTTTCCTTTTTGCTTAATCTGGAGCTTTACAGAGACATTTCTCCAGGGACAGAAGACCTCTCCCACTTTCTTTCTATGCAGCAGAGCTGCCCAGGCTGTAGTGGCCCTGAGACTCAAGTTGGCCTGGAGTAACTGTTTTGGGGAAGGGTGGGTTAATCTTTCAAAACTTAGAGCTCAGAGGCAGGGATGCTTCCTAGGAGGCGGAAGAGGACAAGCCAAGCTGGTGCAGAGCTGGGCGCCCCAGAGCAGGGAGAGCCAGGGAGAATCTGCAGACTGGGAAGAGCTGGATGGGGTCACTGTGCAACCTCAAGTGCGAAGTCCAAGGTGTCCAGGATCTGTGTGCTCATTATTGCTTTGACACGTTGACCCCCTGTCATGGTTTATGTTTGTGCCCCCCAGGTGTCATGAGTTTGCATTGTTCATTTGTGATGGTTCATTGTATAGTGCTTGGATTGATGGTGTCAGTGCTCCACCCACATAGGGGTGGAGCCAGGATGTGATGTAAGGGCAGGAAGAAGGTGTGTCTTTCTCTTTGCTGGTTTGAACTTGCTGTTTGCGGCTGCCATGAACTGCGGCCCAGCCATGCCCGCCTGCCTGGGAGCTGACTGAGTGTGGACTGAAACCTCCAAAAACTGTAAGAAATAAACTTTCCTTTCCCAACTTGGGCATCAGGTATTTTGTCTCAGCAATGAGCATAAAGTAACTAAGACACCCCCCCAACCCCCTCTAAGAGTGCACTGAATGTCTCTCCAGAGTGCATTGCTGTGGACCTTAAGCATACCATAGGCTTCTCTGTCCCATTGTCACGACCTTTCCATCTTGTAAGACATTGGTGGTAGGGGAAGGTTCATTCATGTATTTACTTCTTCATTCCACAAAGAGCTAAGTGTCTTGCTAGTTACCCAATATCATATAGAGAGGAAATGATTTGGTCCCTGACTACTGGGACCTTAGAGTTTAGCTGAGAATCCAGGTAGCAGCTGGGAAGCACATTCATTATACAGCTGGATGGGGTGAGGTGGGATTTTAACAAGTTTGTGTGAAGAAAATAGAGAGGGAAGGGGTGAGTTAATTCTGGGGAAAGGTGGAGGTGGTCAGGGAAGGTGACATTCCAGAGTTGTGTCTTGCTGGGCTTTGAGCCAGGTAAAGTGGGAAGCACTTTGTACAGGCAAGAACTCAGCAAAGCAGAGATACTTGCGGTGGCCTGACCCCACTCACTGGTTGTAGCTGTTGCCTGGAGAACTTAACTTTTCAGTGCTGCTGGGTCCCTTGCTACTTGAACAGCACAGGTCACATATTTGCTATACAAAAATTATCAGGAGACTCAAGGAGACAACGAAGAAATAACTTTGCCTTTGTACACTCACCGTTTCTTGAATTTGTATGTAGTTTTCTGTGGACAGCCTCTTTGATTTTGCTGGAAACCCACATTCCCACATCCAGCCTCTTCTATAGGGAGTGAAGACTGGCTGGTGATGAGTTTATTGGGATCCGAACAGCTGCTTGGAAAGTTTATTTTTCAAGTGAGAATTGTCATGAGGGATGTTAACAGTCCTAGATGAAATGAATATGTGGCTCATTTAGCGAGCTGCTGGGATATCACTGCCTTTTAATGGAAATGAGGGATGGTATCAGGCACCTTGTAATTAAGGCAAGGCTGCAGGGCGGCAGCAGTTACCTATGAGAAGATCTAGTGACAGGTGTCCTAAGGAGGCTGCGGACATTGTTCTTATTCTGGAAGCCTATGCTGGAGACCAGAGTTAAGATAGGAGATGCTGTTTTTCAGTTTTTGTTCTTGTTTCTGGATAAAAAATAATCTGGGACTTCCGGCACATCACTGATAATGAAACCTTAGAGGCTACAGGAATGGTGGTTTCCATGAGTTTGGAAGTGGTGAGTTACTTGAACTGAAGGATTATTCTCCCCTTGCTTTCCTGTTTGCTTTGTCATCAGGGTAGGGAGTGGAGGGAGTACTGTTCCAGAAACATCAGTGTCCCAGGTGCCCAGGGGAACTGCTGTTGCTGCCACCTGCTGGACGGGAGAGATTTTTTTTTTCTTTTGGAAGCCATTCCCAGGTGGTTTATTAATTATGAATTGAATAACTGAGCTATGAAAATGAGCCTCCAGGGATGTAAAATATTGGCTCACTTGAAACAAACAGAGAGCAGCTTCTTCAAGGAAACTGCTTCTGGGGTGTTCAGAACTGATCAAGTGGTCATGAAATCCTGCTGTTAAATGAGGTCTCACAATGTCTTTCCGGAGTCATTTTATTCCTCATGGACCAGAAAAACAGCGTTCACCGTGGTCCATAAAATGGATTAGATCTGAATTGAGCCAGAAGTAAGAGGGGCTGCTTGGTGCATTCTGAGTTCTGAAAAATGTTTGGCTCTGAGGATTTGGGGGGATTATCTGTGTAATGCAGAGAGGGACTGGGAAAAGGCACAGAGAAACTGTGCTATCAGAGGGGCAGTGGGAAGAGTTGTTTTCTCTTACTCTCCAAGGACTCTCCAACACTCTCCATTGGCTTCCTTGTATTCCCCACCACGCCCTGCCTCATGGTCTCTGTTCTGTGTTGCTGCTAGCCTCCTGCCTATTATGCCAAAACAGTTCTTTGTTGCTTTCCAGTGGTTGGCTCTGGGCTGGACCCTGACCTTCAGATGGACATTATCAGCGAACTTGACCTCGGAAACACCACCCGTGGAGTCACTCAGGTGTCTGGACAGCACAATGGCAGCAAAGCGTTTTTATTTCAAGGTAAAAGGACTTCTTCCTTTGCATGGGACAGAGCCGGGGGGAGTGCTGGTCTGGGGAGTGTCCACTGGTGGGCCTTTGTTTGGTGGTCGCCTTTGCTAGTTTTCTTGGGTTCTAGTCCATAAGAGCAATGAGATGTGCAGCAGGGTTCTGAGAGTGGGAAGAGGCGTCGGGGGGGCGTGGTGGAGAAATGTTTGGTTTGGTCATAAAATGGCTGCCTGGGGATTTTAGTGGAGAGTTAAAGGGTAATGAATTTGGGAGAACTTTGGAAAACTATTGGCCCACTATGTTATTTTTGCTGGCGATCTCTTCAGCCATTATCTGTCCCTTTACCTGTGTGTATACCAGTATCCGTCATCTCCCTGGTAGACCATGAACACAGTAGATACTATGGCTGTCTCTGTTAACAGTCCAGCTTTTCTTCTCCTTTCACTGTCACAATGTCTAGTGTACATTTTGGAACAACTGGGATGAGGGAAAGGAGAAAAAAAGGAAAAGATACGTGTGTAGGGATACATATATAGATGTATGTGTGTATGTATGCAAGATAACTATACTACTGATCCCTGTTAGTTCATCAAACAAAACAGTTTGTGCTGTCATTGTTTGATTGTTTGATCATTTTTATGCCTACATCTTGTAACCTGAACAACTACTTCTAAGATAACAATATCAATGTATTAACTAGTGTTAATTTCCTACTATTTTTTTGAAATTGTGTCATTTCTACCATTTTTCTGTTTTGCTGTTTTTTAAAGAACATTTTGCTTTCATTGTTTGATAACAGTACCCAATATATTAACCATTGTTACTTCCCTGTTACATTGTCTTGAAATTCTGTCACACTATAAGTGAGCTTACCCAGCCCTGCCCATTATAAAGTTGATTACAATTCATGAAATCACTCAGTGAGCATTTATAAAGACAGTGTTCAGTGGTTCTGAAAAGGATGGGCTCTGGAGCTTTACTGCTTGGGATCCACATTAGCCCTAATTGCTCTGAGACTTGGGTGATTACTTAGTTTGATTTGTTCTCATCTACAACAATAGATCCTTGCTAATGCTAACGCTACCTACCTCGTATGGTGGCTACGGGGATTCAGAGGCAGCCTGGGAGAACAGCTACACTAATTTTAGGCAGAAGGTAGAAGGTAAATTCTATCTTCCCTTTTGGAGTTCCTTTCCTGTATTAGGTAACATGCTAACAGTAGGGTTACCAGTAAGAGTACATAAGAGGCAGCCCCTGCTCTAAAATGTAATGAAGGAAAAAGTCATTCCACAAATCCTTGTCAAAGATTAATACAGGCACGTCTGACCTAATTGGAGAGGCGGTGGTTTTAGAGAAAGGACACCCTGAGAAAGTGGTTTATCAGCAGAGAGTGGACCGCATGAACTGGCAGCCTCCTGTAGGAATGGGTGGGGCTCAGGGAAGTCTGGGCAGAGGAAATAGTACCAAGCATAAAAGTCTAAAGGTAGAAACCAGTAGAAAGGCTCGAAAGGTGGTGAAAGGCTAAGTGATATTGGACCTGGTGAGCAGAACCAGCATCCTGACGCTGTGAGTGAGTGTGAGAGTGCTGGGGATTTACAGCCAGTGTCCATTCCGGGAGGTGGGAGGCCAGGTACTTGTTATTAAGCACTGTAAATAGCTCCCCTCCCTGTAGGCCATATTACTGGTCTTGTACTATACTTTCACTGAGGTGGAGCCTTTGTTTAGGTTAAAGCAGAGAGGCAGACTGGTTGCATGTGGTAATAAGGCGGCTGGGATTTTTCTCTGAAAATGCCTGGCAGTGTTCTTTTGACACAGCCTTTTAAGAAGACAACAAAAGGATTTTTTTTTTTTTTTTTTTTAAAAGAACGACTGAACCAACATTACGGAATGAGATCCATGTGTCCCCTGGGCAGATCACTCAAGGGTTGTTAGTGACACATAGCAATCTATAGATCTAATGAGAGTGCAGATTTGTTACCTTGTACTTACTAAAGAGTTGGAGAAATTCTGAAGCTGGGCATGGGAAGTGAATACAGACCAGATCACTTTTCTTTTTGCACTGTATGTGGTCTACACAGTCACTCTTGAGAGTCCATGCGATTCTAGATGTAAGCAAGGCTGCTATGAGCCAGGTTTGGTTGGTGTTTAAGCCCCAGCATCCATACTTTTGCTCCTTGGAGCCAGCCTTGTGCATGGTGCACTGTAAATGGTTAATAAAATGTTTGCAATAAGTTAAAATTTTTCTTTGTCCTATCTACCTGAAAGAGGCTTGTTCCTGTGTTATTTATCATTCATTCATGTATATTCTTTCATTCATTCTGTAAGTGTGGGCCCGTTGGCCTGAGAAGTCTGCTCTCTAATCTGTGTGTTGTCTACTTTTTAAATCTGTTCCTAGGATGTCAGCTAGGCTGCAAGAGCTGGGAGAGCTTTTCATCTTTCTTGCTAGAAGATTAACTTCATTCTTGGAGTCTGAGGAGGCTTTTCCATGTATCCCATCTCTTGTTGATTATACTCGGTGCACCTGGGCAACCCAAGATAATTTTTGTTTTCAACAACTACAGTTTGGTCACATTTACAAAATCCTGTTTGCCATGTGAGGTGACATATTCACAGTTCTGACATTAGCTCAAAGACATCTGCATTATTCTGCTTTCCCCAAAATCTGCTCTCTGCCCTCCAAAGATTCATGTTGGTCCCTCATGCAAAATAAATTCACTGCATCCCACTATCTCCAAAAGCTTTGAGCATTTAATTTCAGCTCAGAGTCCAAAATCTCTAGTTGGGAATTGGGAAAATTCCACAACTCATCACTCAAGCTGTTTTATTCAGTTGTTGTTTTGGGAGGAAATTCTGCTCTATTTGTAGACCTGTGAAGCTAGAAAATAAGTGTCTATTTCCAGCATATAGTGGTGGGACAGTATGGAGCACCTGCTGTGGAAGGAGAAAGGAAGGAGCACAGGAGTCACCAGTCCAAAGTAGCTTTGAGGTCAAGCTGTGTGAACTTCATTGTGTTTCATATCCTGGGAGTAACCTTTGCCTTCTGTGCCTGTAACTCATTCCTTGGGGACACCACTGAGTTTTTTTTTTTTTTTTTTTTTTTGGTAGTATCAGGGATCGAACTCTTGGCCTCATGCTTGCCAAGCAGGCATTTATGCCACTGAGCTAAATCCCCAGGCCCACCACTCAGTTTTCATGAAGGACAGCATGTATTTGCAGACCAGTAGTTTCAGTCGTTGTTTTTGAGACATGGTCTCCCTAGGTAGTCAAGGCTGTCCTCTCATGGCAAACCTCCTGCCTCAGCCTCCGGAGTGCTGAGATTACAGGTGTGCACTACCCTGCCCAGATGCAGACAAATAGTTTTACTAGCCTGTTTCCTGCCTGCAGAGCTGAAGAATTTTGGGGATTTGTCAGCAATCTTTCATTTTATCCTTTCTGTTCCCTCCAGTTCAACCTGGCAGTGTTTTTGTTGGTATTTTTAAAATAACATTTTGAATATTTTTAAAATTACATTTTGATTTTTGATCAGCACATAAAAATTTTATATATCTATGGGATGCAGTGAGACATTTCAATATCTGTGTACAATGTGTAAAGATCAGATTAGGGTCATTGGCATCCCTCACCCCAGCTATTTATCACTGCTTCATTTTGGCAAATCTTCTCTGCTAGTTATTTTGAAATCTTCAACTTATACTTGTCGACCATAGCTGTGCCACTGTGCACTGCACCCCGTCATTACCCAGCCTCTCTCTATCTCTTCCTCTCCCCTTCTTTCCCAGCACTGTGGAATCTGTGAGGTCAGCTTTTTGGGGTCCACAGATAAGTGAGGACGTGATGGTGTTTGCCTTCTGTTGCTGACTTATAACACAGCACGATGTTGTATAGTTCCTTCCACTTTCCAAATGTCACTCTTTTTATTGAGGTGACAGACTAGTACTCCATTGTTGAAGGATACAGTTGATTTGTCCATTCCTCCGTCTGTGGACCCTCAAGTGGATGGTGCATCTTGCCTACTATTAATAATGGTGCAGTAAACGTGTAAATGCAGAAGTGTCGTGGGCCCATCAATTTCAGTTGATTTGTGTGCTACTTCTAGTGCCTTTGAGGGCTCTCCATGCTATTTGTTGTCTCCGCCAACTGTCTGAATGTTTCCCATTTTGGGCATCTTCAGCTGCATTTGATGACAGCTGTTCTAATGGGGTCAGATGATAACTCATTACAATTTTCATTTGCCTTTTCCTGCTAATTAGTGAGACTGAACATTTTTCATATGTGTTGGTCATTGTCATGGTTTATGTTTGTGTCCCCAGGCCTCATGAGCTTGCATTGTGTATTTGTGATGGTTCATTGTATAGTGCTTGGATTGATGGTGTCAGTGCTCCACCCACTTAGGGGTGGAGCCAGAATGTGATGTAATGGCCGGAAGAAGGTATATTTTTCTCTTTGCTGGTTGAAGCTTGCTGTCGGCAGCTGCAATGAACTGTGGTGCAGCCATGCCCGCCTGTCTTGAAGCCAACTGAGTGTGGACTGAAACCTCCAAAAACTGTAAGAAATAAACTTTTCCTTTCCCAACTTTGGGCTTCAGGTATTTTGTCTCAGCGACGAGTAAAAAGTAACTAAGACAGAAATTTGGTACCGAGGAGTGGGGTCCTTTGCTGTGACTATACCTGGCTATGTTTTTCAAGAGGCTTTGGAAATGGCTTGTGGGCGGAGTTTGGAAAGGTTTGGACATGTCGTCCAGATGCATAGAGCTGGAGCAGTGTAGGCTGTTCTGTAGAGGAGATTCTGGCCAGAGCTCCAGAGATCAGAAGGCTGATAGAAAGCCTCATGGTAAAGACCAGGCTTGTGAGGTTTCTGCTGGGAAGAAGGACTGCATTGGTTGTTGGACTCCACATGATGTGTGTTATGGCTTGGCAGAAAGTTTGTCTGCATTTTGCTCCGGCCCAGAGACTTTGCCTGAGACTGAGACAAAGGGCAATGGACTGATTAATCTTGAAAAAGAAATTAAAAAGCAA